AACCAAGAGAGATGAAAGATTTATTTAATATTAAAAATAATTTATAAATGAATTAATTATTAGATTAGAATAACTAATAACAATAAGGGAGAAGTGATTAACCTCATGCAATTAATGTTAATGTTGTTGTAAATCTATAATAAGCAAATTTAAATTTACAATTATCTATTGATCCAGAAATTCCATTTAATGTATTCGTAAATGGAATTAAAGAGTAAATATTTGCTCAAAGAATGCAAGCTCAATATGAAGAAACTATAGAATATCAATTAGGAAATGGATCCAATCTATAATAAAATGAAGCCAGAACATTATAATTTTTAGGATTTACAAATAATTGCACACTCTATGTTAGACTTAAGCTTAAAGGAGGATAATATTGAAAAATATAATATAATAATTATTAATACAAAATGTTTTTTATATGAAATCCATTTGTCATGATTTGAAAGCTAAAAAATAATATTTATAATAGGTAATAATACCCTTCTAGAGATTTTTATCTTTTACAATTGATTTTAAAACAGATATCAAATAAATGATTACAGTACTCGAATAAACAATATGAATTCGGAAAGCATGAGTGATTTGCAAATGATTTCTTATTTTGATAAAATTAATACTGTTGTATTAAATTATCAACTCCATCAACAGAAGAATGATATTATTAAAGCTATTCTAAAAATTCTATAGTGGAGGATTTAAAATTTATCATATCCATGAATTCTTACAACCCGAGGGTAAAACAATCATTATTAATAATAATTTCTAAAAAAAAATTAATTTCTTCAACATTTGATACAGATTTTTGCGAATATAATTAATAGAAATTCTAAAATTCTATTAAAATGGAGGTATATTTAGATCTAGATTATTAACTGGCTTTAGTTTCATTAAAAATTGCAAAACCCACAATTTTTAATGTTAAATATTATGTTGTATTTGACTTTAAAGAAAGATTTTTGAATAAATCTTTAATCTATTAATTTGCTATTATTGTTATTTTAAATTTTGTTAATAATAAAATCATCTTATTAGGAGGCAATAAAAATAATTTTAAATCTTCACTAAACAAAAGGTTAAAATTAAGGTTTCTGTCTCATCTTAGAATATTATATTCTATTTAAATGTTTTAATTTAACTATTTTCAATTATTATACTTTTAATTCTCTACAATTATCATTATAAATTATTTATATTATTATATATATAATAGAAATTTATTATTAATGAATTATTTATTCGGAGGAAAAGACTTAAAATAACAATAAGGGAGAAGTGATTAACCTCATACAATTAATTTTAATTTTGTTGTAAATCTATAATAAGGAAATTTAAATTTACAATTATCTATTGATCCAGAAATTCCATTTAATATATCTATTGAACCAGAATGTCCATTTAATAGATTCGTAAATGGAATTAAAGAGGTAATATTTGCTCAAAGAATGCAAGCTCAATATGAAGAAACTATAGAATGGCAATTAGGAAATGGATCCACCCTATAATAAAATGATTAAAGAACATTAGAGTAATTAGGATTTACAAATAATTGCACACTATATGTTAGACTTAAGCTGAAAGGACCGCCTAGAATAGGAATTTGTTGGTCCTATCAGTAAGAATAAAGAATAACTAATTAAAATTTTAATCCTGAAATGTCATTTGCATTGTTTGTGAATTTCATATTATTAAAGGAAAGATTTGACATTTAAATACCTAAAGAATTCATAAACAATATTGAATGTGAACTCAAATAAGGAGTAATTATCAAATAAAATGAGACTAAAAGTTTAAAAGATTTAGGATTCAAACATAATTGTACCCTTAATATAAAATTAATAAATAGAAAAGATTAAAAACAAAGTAATTTTTATCATAAATGTAGTATTATAATAAAAAATAATTTTGAATGTATTAGTAGATTTATAATTTTAAAAAATAGAATTAAATGTATCATAATATAAAAGTACTCCAATATCTTGTGTTTTTCATGATATTTTAATGGAATTATTTTCAAAGTTATAATTTAAAGTAACTCAGCCATTTGCATTTTTTATAAATGATCAAGAAATTGATCCTTATGACTGTGGATTATTAGAAGATTTTGAATAAATATAAAGTATCAATTTAAAAATGATTCCTTCAAATAAATAATCTAATCAATTACTAAATGAAAAATATGAATTTGCACTAAAAAATAAAAGTAAATGGTATAAATTTAAATTGGAAAATATTATAAAGATTGAGTGTATTGAAAATTATGTAACATTTCGAGCTTTTATTAATACCTCTTTAGAAGATATAACTAAATAGATCATAAGTAGTCATTTCTAATTGATTCATTACGGTGTCTATTTGCCTCAATAAAAGTATTATATCAATGGTGTATAATTATAAGATATTAACTCTATTTATTCTAAAGCTGATATTATAGTCTAAGTAGAGAAATAATATCGTCATTAAGCTTCTTAATTAACTTTAATATTTTTAAGTAATTTCATTTTCAAAGCTTTATTTCTTTTATTAAAGAATTCATTAAAAATTATAGAAAGGATAAGATTTTTATTATAAAAAAATGAATTTTAAACTTTTTTTTTATTTGTAAGTATTAAAATTTTAAGTAATCAATTTATTTTCATAGCCTCTTCTTCTAAGATTATTTAATAATCTGTTTTACAAGAATCTAATTATTATAATCTATTCAATAGTTGAAAGTAGAAAAATTTTAATTTCTTTTTCCATTATTATTAGGTTTTCTTTCTTTAATGTCCTTTTTTATTTGTATTTATAATTTAAATCGATTTATGTAGTATGAAGTTACGTAATGAATTTTCACTAGATAGAATACTTACAATCTTAGTTTTTCTTTGATTAAGAGTTCGAAGAAAATTGAATTGTTTTGTTTGGACATCAATGTAAATTACTTTGAATTCATCTTTGTTTTCCGAGAGTGTTTTCGTATATTTGAAATTTAATAATTATATATTGATGATAAAAGTAAAAGATTAGATTATAAATAATTTTTATAATGTTTTTGTGGATTGTATTATTAGGATTAGTAACAGGACTGAATAAACGTCCAGAGAATGTTAATGATTTGTCAGAGATTTTGTATGGATACTAATATAAGGGATAATGGATATCATAGAAAGATGGATAATAATTTCATTACTTGACAGTTGAGTAAGGAGATGCTTATATGATATTTTTATCTAATAATACTTAGTGGAATAATGATACTGATGTGATAGATCGATTTAAGTTTTAATTGTTGAACCCAAAATATGAAGAATTAGGATAAGTATATGGAATATTTAAATTAACAAATTACTCTGATACTGATATGTAAAGAGTGATTATAATATTAGTTCATTCAATAATATCAGTGTTATAAACTACACTACTTATTATAAATTTAGAAGAAACTATTATTCAAAAGAGAATTGTGAAATTACATATAATATTACAATTGAATTTTAATCTGATCATTATGATAAGGAACATGCTGAGATTGATGTGCACTTAAAAACTTAAAATAATACTTTAGATCCACATTGTGATGTTGATATAAAAATGAATTTCACTTTAGATACCACAAATTATTTATTAGGTATAATTATGTATTGCGCTATGTCGGTGATGATATGTTTTACATAATTTTTATGTGTCACAAAGCTTTGTAAAGCTTTACTTGAAAATGAAGAAGATCCAAATAAAGTAATTCTTTAGATATATGATTATTAGATCTCACTTTTTGCAATTGGTTATCTAACAGTTTAAGATTCTTATATATGTCTATAAAATCTCTATTAAGCATTAATTACATATGTAATAATTAGTATTTCATTTAGCAATACTTCTAATATTTTATTTTACCTGCCTTCTTTTACTTTTTGTTGGCAACAACTTGTGATATGAAGTTAATTTGGATTGTTTGGAGAAGCAGACATTTAGATGATTTATTTGATCAATAAAGAATGAGAAAGGCCATCACTTACTTTTTTGCTTAATTCTGTAAATTTTTATAAATTAATTTAGATTTCAGCCTTATTATATATTTTATATTGATGTACTTCTTTTACCCATATAATTGGTTTATATATATAACTGGTATGTGTCTACTCCCTTAAATAATACACAATGTTCGTATTGGTAATAATCCAAAGTTTATCTCATATTACATATTTGGTATACTAATTCCTAGTATGATTTACTAAGTATACAAATTATTTATCTAGATATACAATCGTGCATGTCCAACTAATTTACATGGTTTTGAACCTTCTGTTGCTTTTTGCATGATCTTTTTAAGTGAATACTTACTCTAAATTATTGTCCTTTATATCCAATTTAAATTAGGTCCTAGATCGTTTATTCCTAAATGTTTCTTACCTAAACAATATAAATATCTTAGAATACTTAATATATAAGAAGATTATGTAAATATCATCTATAATTCTTTTAGGAAGAATGTGCTATATGTTTAACTTCATTGAGTGATGATCCATTTGATACATAAGACCTTACAGAAAAATTGATTATCAAATAAGCTATGCTTACACCCTGTAAACATTGGTTCCATCCATCTTGTCTTCGTAGTTGGATAGATATCAAAATGCAATGCCCTACTTGTCGTTCAGATTTACCACCTCTATTAGAATGAATATTTAATTAAATTATCAGAAATGCAACGAGTACCTCCCACAACTCTCAAAGATACTTTTAATAAGGTTGTGATTCCTAAATAATCATCTCAACCTAACATTTATCCAGAATATAATAATTTCTTTCATATCCCTCCTAAATTTTAGCAATAGCGTTTAACTATTAAATAAAGCGTACCCACTTCTAAATCTATTGAAGAGAAACGTTATAAATAACATAAAAATAATATATCAGAAAACACTAATAATCGTACTAATAGCAGTTCCAAAAGTCGTGTTCTTGGAACTATTTAAATTGAAGATGATTCATCACAAACATCTCTCAACTGTTTAAAACTGAAAAAACTAGTAGGAGATACTCAATTATTTTAAACTAATGTTCTTTAACAACTGTAATCCTAATTTAATTATATAGATCTAAATAGAATCTAAATACCAATCTCACTTGTGATTCTCAAAGTCCTGGATAAAAAAAACCTATTCAGAAAAATCAAGAACTCTATAATCTTAATACTTAAATATAATCCATCATTATCAAAAAAAAATATCATTCTAAATGGGAAATTTATAAAGAATTATTATTAAAATAATGCAATCTATTAAATGCATATAAACATTAGTTTATACAATCTACTTCATTTAATGATATATCTATTAGAATCATTAATAATTTGTTTGAAATGATGAATAATATTTCAATTGAGATCTTGTGTGAATAAGAGTCTAAATTTAATGAAATGATTGATAAAATTAATAAAGAAAAAGAAATGTCTTTTAATAATTATAAAATTATTGAAAAAGAAAGAGATTTATTAATTGATACACTTAACCAACTTAAATCACCTAAATAATCAACTAATACTAATTAAAGTGTGGACACTATTTAATTAAAAGAAATGTAGAATGTTATGCAAATTAAATTATAGTAAATGAGTGATAAAGAAGCTAAATTAATTAAATTAGTTTTAGCAATTAAAAGAACTGGAATTGATATTGAAAAAATTTATAATGAAGAAGTACTTAATGATGAGAGTCTACATGAATCTAATGATTAATAACTTGAAATTTAACATTGTCATTTTGATAAAAATGATCATGATGCTGATAATTCTGTTGTTAATGATTCTGATGAATCAAGTTTTTGTTTTCTTAATAGATTTGATAATGATTCAATTTTAGAAAGTGTAAGATAGTTTTAATATAAAAATATCAAAAATCTCGAAGTTAAAACAAATAATGTAAAACTTAAATTAGATCTATCGAATATATAATAAAAATTATAATCTACTTAGATAAAATAATAAAATAATAATAATAATTAATCATAAACAAACTAAATAAATTAATAAAAACTTAAATTACCTGATAATTAAACTTCTATTGGTTTCCATTAGGAATTCATGTAAAAATTAAATGAATTTTCTGAAAGTTGGAGAATTTAAGCATTAAAAGATGATAAAAGAACTAAAACTTGAAAATTTTGATTTATTTTTATAATATTTCATTTCATTTTTAATCATCTAACAATATCAATATTTAAGATTAGACAGTTAGAGTAATTGTTGAAAGACTTAATTAATAGATATATTTTTATCTTTCTTATTAAAATAATTTTATTCAAAATGGGAAATGGAAGTGGTTTGAGTAACTAAAATCAAGATAAAGGAATTTTGAATACTCGTAGAAACAATATTAACCTATTAGTACGTTAAATCACAAATCAATTTATGAAGGAAAAAATACAAGAAATTTTGAGACTTGATTAAGAATTAAATGAAATATGGCAAAATCTGAATGTAGATAATTAGAGAGATTTTACAATTGCTTTAAATGGATCTTATCGGGGTACAAGAGATGAAAATGATAGACAATGTGGTTTTGGGGAGTTAATTTCAGATAAATAGGATAAATATTGTTTAGGTTATTGGTAAGATAATGAATTGAACGGTAAAGGTTGTACTTTGTTTATAGAAGAAAATTAATAATATCACTATTATTATGGTATATTTGATAAAGGAAATCCTCATGGAAGAGGTACATTAAAATATAGCGATGGTTCGAATTATGATGGGTAGTGGTTAAATGGAAATATGACAGGAAGTGGAACAATTTATATATATAATACATTATAATATTAAGGATATGTGAAGAATCGTATGATGCATGGAAAGGGTAAATTATATTTATCTTCAGATCCTGGAAATTAAAATTTCGGATCAGATGATTAATTTATCACAAGAGGAGGGATTATAATGGAAGGACAATTTTATGAAGATAATTTATGTGACGGTACAATTAAAAGTCAGACTGGAATCTATATAGGATAGATGAAAGATGGATAAATGGAAGGAAGAGGAAAATTTATTTGGAATGAGAATAATTTCTATCATGGTGAATTCAAAAATAATATGAGACATGGAATAGGTTCTAGCAAAAATTAAAATGGTTAAATTGAAATTGCTAAATGGGAAAATGATTAAAAAGTTTAAGTTTTAAATTTATAATGAAAGCAATTAATGATTTTATAATTAATATTTAAGGTTAGGTTATAATTTTAATATCTATTATGATATGTTATGCAATTCATTTGATTTTACGATATTACAATTTAAAGTTTATTAAGATCAACATTTTTTATTATTTATTCACTTAATCTAGATTATTTTGTAATAAAGGAATATTTTACGATCATTTTTATCTTTAATTTATTGCTAAAGTCAGTTTGCCAAAGCTTATAGTGACAAAAAGACATAAAATTGATTAATAAACGTTAGTTATTTTATTCTTTTTAATGAGAATAAAATCTAAGTAAAATCTAATAACATATATTATGGTAGATAATTAGAATTAAATTATTCATTATAAGGATTTAATAATCAATACTGTTAATATGTGATGAGAAAAAATTTTGATTATTGAATTTATCATCTATAATTTAGGATAAAATAAATTACATTCAAATTTTAAGTGGATTGCTATCTCATGAAATTAATAGAATTGCTGTAAGTACAGAAAATTAAATATATTTTGCAAATGTGTTTAAGTAGATCAAACCTTTTAATTGATCTAATTTATAACTCAAAGTCAATTACAACAAAAATAATTTGGTAAATCTAATTGATATCAATTACAAACTCATTTTTCGTAAAAGAAGTTCAAAATTACATTTTCATATCCATTAATTTTATTAAAGATTTAAACTGTTGAAATTTTTATATAGACTGCAATATATTAAATTAAACTACAAGAAATGTATCAATAGCTATCTTAATAAATTAAATCAAGTGCAACTACTATCTTTTAATTATTTTCTTGATTAAAATAAATTATATTCTCCTTACACTTACACTTTCTATAAAATACATAATTTATTTTCTCCTTATTCGGATATTTTCCTTTAAATATTGATAAAAATCGCGAATCCTTGATGGTTCGCTTATTAGTTCACCATTATTATTTTAATAACTAATCCTATTAGTTTAACTCTTTTATAATCAGATGTCTTATTAATAACCTTTGTTCTTAATTATCTGATCATTTATATTTTCTTTAAAATGATTTTATGAACAATTTATTGATGTTCAATTCAAATAATCATTTATTATTTTCGAATATTACACTTTAATATAGAAATAGATCATCCTTAAATAGTTTATCATTAACAATATGATAAGACCAATAGTTAAAGATTCAAAATTTTATGAATTATATTAAAAAATAAAAAGGAAAATTTTAATTGTAATAGTATTATTAATTATAATGATAGTAGTATGGTCAGAAGATGGCTATGATTAAATTAAAGCATGGAAAGAAAGAATATAATTTAAATAAGATTATGAGAAATATAGTAAATGATTCAATAGGTTGATTTTATCATTGCGTATTTAGATACCGAATAGGGGAAGTATTTTTATTAATTTAATTTTTAAGGAATCTTACTCCAAAATAATTTGGAGAATTGCTTAATGAAATAACCATAAAAGAAAAAAAATCAAAGTTATAACATCATCTTATAAAGAAGAAGATTTATGATTATGTATGTTTATAATCTTAAAAAAGGCATTTCAAACTGTTCTAATTGGATGTTTTGGTTTATATAAAAAGGGATTGANTACAGAAAATTAAATATATTTTGCAAATGTGTTTAAGTAGATCAAACCTTTTAATTGATCTAATTTATAACTCAAAGTCAATTACAACAAAAATAATTTGGTAAATCTAATTGATATCAATTACAAACTCATTTTTCGTAAAAGAAGTTCAAAATTACATTTTCATATCCATTAATTTTATTAAAGATTTAAACTGTTGAAATTTTTATATAGACTGCAATATATTAAATTAAACTACAAGAAATGTATCAATAGCTATCTTAATAAATTAAATCAAGTGCAACTACTATCTTTTAATTATTTTCTTGATTAAAATAAATTATATTCTCCTTACACTTACACTTTCTATAAAATACATAATTTATTTTCTCCTTATTCGGATATTTTCCTTTAAATATTGATAAAAATCGCGAATCCTTGATGGTTCGCTTATTAGTTCACCATTATTATTTTAATAACTAATCCTATTAGTTTAACTCTTTTATAATCAGATGTCTTATTAATAACCTTTGTTCTTAATTATCTGATCATTTATATTTTCTTTAAAATGATTTTATGAACAATTTATTGATGTTCAATTCAAATAATCATTTATTATTTTCGAATATTACACTTTAATATAGAAATAGATCATCCTTAAATAGTTTATCATTAACAATATGATAAGACCAATAGTTAAAGATTCAAAATTTTATGAATTATATTAAAAAATAAAAAGGAAAATTTTAATTGTAATAGTATTATTAATTATAATGATAGTAGTATGGTCAGAAGATGGCTATGATTAAATTAAAGCATGGAAAGAAAGAATATAATTTAAATAAGATTATGAGAAATATAGTAAATGATTCAATAGGTTGATTTTATCATTGCGTATTTAGATACCGAATAGGGGAAGTATTTTTATTAATTTAATTTTTAAGGAATCTTACTCCAAAATAATTTGGAGAATTGCTTAATGAAATAACCATAAAAGAAAAAAAATCAAAGTTATAACATCATCTTATAAAGAAGAAGATTTATGATTATGTATGTTTATAATCTTAAAAAAGGCATTTCAAACTGTTCTAATTGGATGTTTTGGTTTATATAAAAAGGGATTGAAGAGTTATGAATTTTGAATACATGTAAATTATATCAAAGAAGCTTAATTTATTTAATATAATTTTTATTCATGAATCTAATATTAATTTGCATACTATTGATCAATATATCAACAAAAGAATACAGATTGAAAATTTAGAAAGTTTAAACGGAAAGAAATTCAAAAAATCATCTAATTTATTCAAATATGGATAAGAATAAATAAAAAGCAAGACCTGATGATTCTAAATAATATTTAGATGATTATACTTTAACAGTAGCATAAATTTTAATTTTACCAGATTTCATTAACTTTGGGTTCAGAATAAATATAATAGTCAATTGATACTACATCTTATATTACTTGGGTATTTAGCAAAAATCCAGAAGATAAAAAATGCGATAGATGTCCCGTTGATGCTAAAATTTTCAAGTGTGAGTAAAGTTGCTCTTATCAAACTAATAAAGAAGATGATAACAATATTGCCTTATCTACTTAGAATACATATGGAGGAAGAGTTAAAATAAATGGATTATATGCAATTTAAGTAAAATTTTAAGATAATAATAAGGATTCTCTTCAAATCATGGGATTGACAGTTAAAAATGTAGGTCTTGGATTAATTTATAAATATAATACTGAATATAGTAGTACATCTAATAATGGAGTTGTGGGATTAGCTTATGGATAAAATTATGTAAATTACAAAAAAGAAAAGAATGCCCAAGTTGGACAGTTTCACTTTGATTCTGCTTCAGAACCATAATAAAGTATACTCTAACAGTAAAATTATAAGTATTGACATTAGAATCCATAATTAATTGCCTAATATTCCATAGTCAACTTTTGCTATTAAATTAGAAGATTCATTACAATTACTTATTTTGGGTGAAAAATAAGAGTATTTTGCATAATCTAAATTTGAGAAATTTCCAAATATCGGCAAGTATGTCTGGGCATTAAAAACAAATAAATTATATTTAGGAAAGGAATCTGTTTTTTAAAGTATTTATTTACATCATATTTAGCTGGGGGAACTGCAATCTTTGATAGCACTACTAGATTTATATGGGCGGAAAAGACTTTAATAAAAAATTTTTAAGAAAAACTAAAAAAGTTACATCTTGTAATTATTTTATTTAAATTAGGATTGTGTTGTAAGCGAGGATATCATCAATTGTTAATGCAATGATGAACAATATGAAAAATTTAATGATATTTATTTTACTTTTAATCTTAGTAATAATAAATTCAGATTATCCAAATCCGATTATATCCATAGGGAAGGATAAAAATGCTATTTGTTGATTAGATAGTTGTAAGAGAGCAATCCTTTAACTTAATAATAATAAGAAAAACCAATTCTCATTATACCTTTTACGTTTTTCAAGTAAAGAATTATAATAAGTAGAAATAATTATGTTGTATTTGATCAAGATGAAAATGCAATAAATGTTTCTCCATCATTTGAAGTTAAAGCTGATTCAATAAATTTAAATAATAATACGCTCATTATTACTGTTATTATTGGATTTATATTTTTAATCTTAACATTATTTATTTTAACTAGTGTGATGCAGTAATATATTTGATATTTTTAGATATGCAACATATGATAATTATACAAATTAGTCATAAAATTAACCTTAAATTTATTAATAATAATATTAATCACCTGCTTAATAATAATAATAAATGAAATAATAACCATATCTTTTCAGTCCAAATCAATTTAATTAAGTGAGAGTTAATCCTGTGGCTAATATACCAGGATAATATAGATTTTGAATTATAAATATAAGATATAAACAAGATAAATAAGATAAATCATTTCTTTTTAGAAGCTTTCATCATTTTTTAATTCAATTATTGTAATTTGATCTTTCTTTATATTTCTTTATTAATAAATCCTTTTACATAAGGTGATTCATGAACTTTTCCAGGAAGTAATAAACTTTACTTAAAAGATACTCTTTTTGTAGATGTGCCTAATAATTTTATATTGATATACTTCTACTAGAAGTAGTGAAAAATGATTTGTCAAGACTTTATTAAGTATGTTATTTGGATTAAATAATTTATTTAAGTTCTCTTTAAGATGGTATTTTATTAGCATCTTCTATGAATTTATAACCACCTCCTCTCCAATCATAAACAAACTTAGATAAATTTCTATTTGTTGTTATTAATGGCAAGGCAACCATTGATTTAGAATCAATAATTTTTTATGGAGGTGCTTTTGCAAGTGGATTTTATTTTGGTAAAGTTGGAGTAGAAAGATTATCAAGTATTTTAGTGTGAGGAGTTTTAGGTACAAAAGGTTTTTTATCTTTTAATTGTAAAGGAGTTTGTAATCTTGGACTAAATATTGATTTAGGTGACTCTTTTCTTTAAATGTAAGCTTCCCTATTAAAATAATGATCTTAATTTTAAATTCATAGTACCTTTAACTTTTGGTAATGGATAATGTTTGAGTTTTGCTTTAGTTCCATCTATCACTTCAGTTGTTGTATCAATTTAAGAATAATGTTAAACTGAATGATTTTTACCATGTTATATAATATGTTTTCTTTAATCTGCAATAATTCTGTCACGCAAAGTTATCTAACTTCTTTATATTGCCATTATTCTTTCATGTTATTATCTATGTAATTCATTTATTTATTCTTTAAGTTTAATCTCATATACTTCTAATCTCAGAATATGTTTTTCAATTAGATTAATTAAATATAATTTATAAGAATTTGATAAATTACTTTAATTTACATTCTAAATTTATAATTTAATTATCTTACTTCTTATAATGCTGTTCTTTGGATACCAAAATTACTAGCTTCTTTTTAAAATTTAGTTAATTATTCTTAATAATTATATAATAACTTTTAATCTTATTCAATTAGATGTCTAAATGAATCTGCTGCTTTTCTATCTATTCCATCAATACGTTAAAGATTTTCTTAGTTTTCATTAATATTAAATTTAATTTACTCAATTTCCCATTTATACTTAAAAATAGATTGATTAATATCTTATTCATTATTAAAATGATCAATAATATTTTCTTCATATAATTTTGTTTATTCTTTATCATTAATGATAGGTTTCTAAATTGATTTGTTATTTAATTATTTCTTTAATTCTGCATTCTCATTTACTAATTAATCATAAATTAATTTAAAATCTTCTTAATGATTATTTTATTGTAGATTCTTGATGATTCCTTAATTGAATATCCCTGAAGCCATTTAACAATACTCAAGTGTTTGAATAGTATCTTCATAATTTATTATAGAAGGTGAAACACATCCAATAATTAATGTTTTAGAATTGCCACTGAATGAATCCTTTAGAATTCTAGTTAATTTACTATTTCTATATGGAATGAATGGTTAAATCTTTTTATTCTAAGCTTCACTCATTAAGGAAATACAATCATTAAGAACTTATAAAGATGCAGACTTTTATCCACTTTTATCAATCCAACCTAGATCAGCTATAATAAATTTAGAAACAGAAATTTCATTATTTGAACCAATATTATCTTAAATGTAGTTTGTTAATATTAGAATTTCATGTTATTTACTTGATTTTTGTCGTTTTCCATACTATATTAAATTAATTACTTCTTAGGTGCTAACAACATCGATTTCTCTCATTCCATTTATTATCAATCCTTTATCAATATCATCTCTTATCTCTAGATTACCATTCATATTATTAAGTAAATCATAAAGTTATTCTTATTGAATTTCTAAATATGAGAATTTCATAGAAATCTTCCTCTTTTTAATATGTATAGTTTAAAATAACTAATTAAGAGCTCTAATCAATAATCCATAATCTTCATTTAGTTTCATAAGTCTTAAAATAACTTAAATATATATACGTATGAGACTTTCCTGTTCCAGATGCCCCGTAACTAAAAAGTGTTACATTTATTCCATCTAACAAACAAAGTACTTAATACTCAAGTGTCTTTTCAAATATATCCTTTTGAGAAGCTATTTAATCAAAAACCCAATTAAATTTATAGATCTTTTTACCTTACTTAACTTCTCTCTCTACTGGAGGAATTGTTAATAAGGTTTCTTAATCTGTAACCTTTAGAGTACACTTATCACTAATCTCAAGATCTTTATTATTAAATGGCCTAATTCGAATAGCAACCTATGAAAATCAATACTAATTACTTTTATGTTTTCAAGTAACATTTTTAATAATAATGATTATTAATTACAAAGTCTTAACTAATTTATGTAAATATGTATATATTTTAGGTAAAAACGAAATCAAAATATTAAAATTCTATTCCTTTTTAAAATAAACTTTTTTCTAAATATTTTCTTTTTTTATTTTTTATTATATAACTTAAATCATTAAATTTTACATTCAAATTAGAACTACTTCTGAGATTTGTTTATTAATAACAGTATTAATTTATCATCTTAAGTTGGATGATTAATTTATTTATATTTTTCATTATAGTATTTCAATAGAAGACACTTTTCATTTGAAACATCTCCTTCTTTCTTTAAAATTTCAACTGGATAAATTTGATTATATGATTTTGCAAAATATTTTGATAAGATTAAATTGAGATTAAGAATTTCAGTAAAAAATACTAAGTTTTAAGATTAATACAATTCAGCAATCTATGGTTACTATCCATAAGTAGCTAAATTATATATTAATTCTTCTTAATTATTCTTTTCATCTTTGTCATATAAAATCAATAATACATTACCGCATGTTTATTTCCATAATTATTCTGTTAAATCATTATATAATCCATTCTTACCTAATAATAATACTCTTGATTCAACTTAATGTATTATGATTGCTGCATTTACATTTGGAATTAATTAAACATTACTTAATTCTTTCTTTAACAATGGTTTTACAATACATTAAAAACATGTATTTTCAAGAATTTATGATATCTTCTACAAAAGTTCTTATTTTAAAGAATATACTCCAATATTTATCGATTTCATAACTTCTTTAATTTGACATTTATAAATAGACAAATCTTTTCCAATTCTCATTCCAATTTCTTAATCACAGAATTTACAATATAGATGACTAAATAAATCATATTTTTTGAATTCATCTTCTTTGCAATTATACATCATCTTAAATGTCTAAAAACTATTTAACTCTCAATTCATACTTTAATTGTTATTCTTTCTTTTAAGTTTGTAAGGTTATTTCATCTGATTTATTAGCAAGGAAGCAATCACAAATATTACATATATACATATATAAATATAATCAATTTTCTTATATTGATTTCAAATTTAAAAACTATTCTAACCGATATATTTTTCCCTCTAGACTTATTGAAATGTCATTTTTTGCTACAATACATTTTTCAATCACCTTCCAACCTGCTTCCTACAAAATTTGATATAAATAATATTTTTCTTATATTGCAAATTCTTTATTGTATTTATAATGTTTGCTTTTTTTAGTGGGAGATGGAGATTCTCTTTTTTTCCATTATTCTTCATTAATAAACAATAGTATTCCATTCTATTGAATCTTTTCAGTATCATACATATCGACTCGTATAAATTCTGGTTTATTATGTATCCCTATTAAAGTAAAACAAATAGGAGTTCGATATTATTTTGCTAACATTATTTTATGAGTTCCACCAAAGTCTTAATCTATAGATTATATTGGATTTTCATTTTTCCAATCTAAATCATTACCATCTTATAAACTGGTATAGGTAAATAATGAAAAATAATTACTGATTCTTTTAAGAATGAATTTTTTTTCATGTTCATCTAAAGTGAAAAAATCAATATGAAATTTATCTTAAATGAATTCATCTGTTATTTAAATAGAACTATTAGCGAATCCAAGTTCATTTTATGTTAAATGAGTTTAATAAAAATTCTTAAGAATAAGATCAATTCTACCATTAATCTATTAAATTAAAGAAGCTCTAATTTTAAATTTATCAAATATATCTAAATTAATTGATACAATATTCTCCTTTAAATAATGTTTAAGATCTCTTTAATTTCTTTCAGTAATGAGTATTCCTATTTAGAGTAGACAATTATTTATGAAATTAATTAATTTTTCTTTATCTCTTATTTTAACATTTGGAAGTTTGAAATAATTTTGAGAAGATGATTAAATCTTTTTAATTGAATTCAAAATATTTTCCATTTCTTATTGAATATATTAGTCATAATTTAAGTACTCAAAATATTCATCAAAAGTTAATTAATCAAAAACAATTTCAAAGTCTTGAATATAAGTTTTATTTTGAAATATAACAACTTTGAATTTATAATTATCTAAAAAATAAATAGCCCATTCACATGGATCACCAAATAAATTAATACATTGATAATTAGTAAAAAGACCTGGAGGAAGAGAATACATAGCTATTTTGTAATTTAGATTTTCAATAGATATTTAAATAAATGGAATTACAAGATATTATATAAAGAGTTTGTATGAAGTAATGTATTTTAATGGGAAAGGAATACAAATATTACTATTAGTATGTTGCAACATATCAGCTAAGGAATTGATTTCAATTAATTCACTGACTCTTTGAGAATTAATATTTATTTATATTAAGAGACAAAAGTCTTCTAATTTAGGATTTGCTTTATTAGAGACAAGAGAGATTTCTACAATATAGGATAATTCATTTTCTACTTATATCATATATATTTCATTTGGTTATAATTATATTGAATAATATTCTTAACTAGATTCTAATAATAAATAAATTGATTTACAATAAGTAAATGAAAAATTGATAGATTCCTCAAATTCTATTATACTAACATTTTATAATTTCTAAGTTGGCCATTGTTATGATTAATCTAATGTATTTTCTTAAGTGATATTAGGAGGAGGAGTCAATGGTTATTCAATAGATTATTATTAATGTTTATGAAAACTAAAACTAAAGGGAGGAGTACTTTTTTTATTAGTTTAAAATTCAGCAATAGAATTTTTATTATCTGGAGTTTAGAATTCACCATTTAATGAATTTACTAGTTTGATAGGTGTTTAATCTATATTAAATTCATTTATTTCATTTCTTTTAGTTTTAATAGCACTTTAAATAAAGAATTCTTTTTATTCACTTGATATTTAAAATTCATTAATGGAAGTATTTTTTTTAATAGGACTTTAAACGCTTTTTATTTTACTTTATGATTATTTTTTATTATTAGCTTAGAGTAGTTCAATTTATATTTGTTATTACTCTTACAATAAATCTTTTTCTTTTAATTAATCCTTTAATAATTAGATTTAATCATATAAATTAGTGATTTTTTAATTCTATTCTAATAATTTCTTTTGATCTTCAAGATTACTTAATTCTAATTCTGATTTTTTGGATTAGAGTTTAATATTTAATTGTTCTTCAACTTTTTTTAGTATAACAGATTCTAATTATTTATAATATGAAATTGGAGTATCACAATTAATTACTTTTTCTTTAGTAGTTTCATCTGAAGAATTACCTTCATGATTACTGTTTTATTTACATCTTACTCTAAATTTTTTAATATATGGTTTAGAGATTTCCATTTGACTATTTTAAGTAGAAGTAGTTTTATAAGTATCAATGGATCCCTTAAGACATCTTCTATAATGAGGTTTTTCAGGTTGAATAACAATATTAATTCTTCTTTTTACTAATTTAAATAATTATATTATTTAGTTAAGTTATTATCTAGAAATCAATTAAATTGTTGGTTATTGAATTTTAGGTTTTTTGAGACGATGAGAACTTGAATACTGTAATTTTTGTATGATTTGATTATTTGATCCCAAATATTTAATTGTTAATTATTTTGCATTTAAATAGAATTTTTAGATTTAATCTTCTTAACACAAACTTTTATTATGTATGTATTGAAGATCAATATCAGATGAAGATTCATAAGATTTAGCTAAAATCATATAACCATTAATGAGTAACATAGCATCTTCTATTTTTGAGTCTCTATTTTTTAATCTATCAAAAAGTTCTTTTTCTAGAGTACTCATTGCTTATTCAGCAAGTATAAAAGCTTTACCATAAAATCCTAATTAATATTTCATCTTAGCCATATTTAATTGGACTATAAACTTAATCACTTTTTATCTAAATTAATTACAGTGTAATTGATCATTTTTCAGTAAGTGAGAATTCATAAACTTAAAGATCTTATTAGCAAATAAATCATATCTAAGTATTTAGAATTCAATTAAATTACTTATAGTAATTGACTGCAAGATTATTAAAAGCTTAAAGTACAAGAGTTATGATGTCATTTTGAGAGAATGGCATTTCAATCAATTATGCAATTATGTTAATATGCATCTAAAAATTGTTAGACTGATTTGCTTAATATATTAGACGTTGAAAATGATTGAAATTCTGTAGATCTGGTTAATATTTTAGCATGTTTTTATTATATTTATAATTAATCTACAAATTTTAAGAAATTACATTATAAATTTACAATTCTAATAATAATTCAATTATAATAATAATTTAATAATAAAATGAAATCAGTTGTTATTGAAGATGATAATGAAGAGAGTAGCAATATATAACCGGGATTCATTACTCTTAAAATTAGAGTTTAAACTGAGATTTATACAAATATTACAGATATTAAAATTGATCCTTAAATACCTTTTGATATATTTTGTAATAAAGTAAAAGAAAATATATTTTCATAAATTTTTGAAAGTATTCATTTACAATAATTATTAGAGTAGTTTTTAGATAGTATTAAATTTTTGAAAAAAAATCAAGAAATATCAAAACATGAAAAGAGAAATTTAGAACAATTAGGTTTTTAAAATAATGATATTTTGGATGTTAGATTATAATTAAAGGGTGGTAGGATTAATTGATTAGGAATGAATGATTGTTTTTAAATTATGTAATTGATAGATGATTAATAGAAATTGATTATATATATATAGTATATATAAAATAGTATTATTGTTTGAATAGAAAATAAAGAAAGAAATTAAAAATATAATTAATTATACAGTTATAAACAATAATGAGTCATCATATAAAAAATGATAGTAGTTAAATAGCTTACCATACTAGTCCTTCTCGTACAATACAAGAGGTTAATGAATTATCAAGAGAATAAGCAATTAAGAAACTTTAAGAGAAGAAAATATAAGAATTGGAATATAAAATAAAATAATCTGAGATTATTATATAAAGATAGTAAACATAATTAAATGATGTTTCAATGGAAGCAACAAAGATGAGCAGATAATTTTAAGATGCTTTGAATGATTTAAATTAATTAAGATAATCTAGTGAAAAAAAGGATTAATAAATAGGAATGTTGTTAGAAGAGAATGAAAAAGTAGTTAAAGTTTTAGAGAAGTTAAAATATGATTAAAAGATAATTAATGGAGATTCAAATAAAACTATATAGAGTTTAGAATAATAAGTGCGTGATCGTTATTAAGTTGAGAAAAGAATGAATGATGAAATACAATAGAAAACATTTTAAGTATAATATTAATATATAACTTAGATTACAAATTTATAATAGTAGTTATAAGTATAATTATAAGAAAAAGAAGAAATAATTAATGATTTAAGAGAGAAATTAATAGTATCTGAAAAATAATGGTCAACAGATGCATCACTTGGACATTTGGCTAAGAAAAGAGGCAAATAGATAGAAACACTTACACATACTAATAATGATTAATTATTGAAAATATAAGAATTATAAAATAAGATTACTATCCTATTAGAATAGAATGATACTTTATAAAATACAATTTTAAAAGATTCTAATAGAATTGAAGATTTTAAATAATTAATTAAATAATTAGAAGATAAACATAGAGAATAATTAGAAAAATAAAATGAAATTAATGAATCAAAAATGGATAAATTAAAATAATAACATTAATTGGAGATCTAAAATTAAATGGATACAATAGAAGTTATTAAAGTTGATTTAAATTAAAAAGTTAATTAGAATATGAAAAATTCAACTTAACCTATTATTGAAGAATTAAAATCTGCTAGATTAATTATAAGAGATCTATAATAAGAAGTTTAGAAATTAAAATTATCTTAATATAAATCTCTATAAGGAGAAGCTGAAAATATATAGTATGAATTTGATTAATTAAATAAGAAAAATAATTAATTGAATGAAATCAATTTTTAATTGTAACAAAAATTGAAAAAAGAAGATATTAACAATAAATCTAAGATTGCAGAATTAGAAAAGGCTAATGAAAAATTATAATAGATATAATAATTAAATGAAACAAAGATTGATGAATTGCAATAGAAATTAAAAGAATTACCACGATTTAGAGAAAAAAGTTTAGAGAATATTAAATTTCATGTTGATTCAACTAAATAAACATGTGAATTAGAAACTAAGATAAGAAAATTATAGGATATAAATGAATAATATAATTAAGAAATCAACGAGAAAGATTAGAAAATTAATTTACTATTAGATTAAGTTAAATAAGCACAATATTAAAAAGATAATGAAATATCATTAATAAGATTGGAATCTTCATAGGAAATTAGAGAAACTTAGGAATAAATGAAAAGAGAGTTACAAATTCAATAAAAACTCTATAATGATGCTTAGAAGCCAATTTAAGATTAAATGAAATAAGGATAATTAGAATAATCAAGACTTAGATAATAAATATAAAGATAATAAAATGAAATAAAATAATTGGAAAATAGAATTGCATGTATAAATATATATATTAATTAATTATAGATTTAATCAATGAAAATTAATAATTACAAAATTAATAAGATCAATAGAGAATATTAGAAAATTAGTTATTAAAGGATAAATAAGTTTTAGAATGTAAATTATAAGATAGACAAAAAGAATTAGAAAACTGGAAAGATAAATTTACAAAGACTACCAATAATTTTGAGAAACAGTCAGAAAGAGCTGAAAGAGAATAGAATAGAGCTGAAGGTAACATTATTTTTTAATTATTAGGTTTAAGATTGGAAATCAGTAGAATGTAAAAATAGTTAGAATAAATGACTCAATAAAATAACAGTTTAGAAGTTTAATTGTAGAATTCTTTGTAAGAGTCTAGGGTTTTAAAGAATTAATTAGTTGAAGGATTAAGACGTGATTGTGGATCAGGAATTTAATCTAATACTTTTATTAAGACAAAGTGAGGGATTATCTTTATTTAATTTTTATAAAAGATGAAAATAATTTATTAATTAATTTATGAATTAAGACACGACCAATGTGATTTTAGTTGTGATCACTAATAAAGCAAATAAAACTCTCGGACATGACAAGTATTTCAAAGTATTCAGTCAATTCGGTACTATTCAAAGAGTAAAAATGCAATAACTTATATAGATGCTCATTTTTGAAAGATCATTAACATGGAAGACATTTATTGAATTTGATAATCCAGAATCTGCTATTAAAGCAAGATAAATTATGAATGACAAACCCTTTTGTGATGATACATAATTAACAATGAATGTATATGCAAGTAAGCTTACATACATCACATTTTAAGAGAATAATACTGGGGGAGTTGGTATGTTCTTATATTTTACATAGATTACACTTTATTACGTAAGTAATAATAGCCGATTGCAAAACCACCATAATAGCCAATCCCAATATAATTTCTATAATCATAAATGCAATTTCAGCATCAGATGTCATAATAGATACAATAAATAAACTCTTTGATGGGATAATTATAATAAGTAAGTGCTGAAGGATTTTCTACAACAATGAATACTTCAACTGATTTATAGTCACAAATAGAAAAACAATAGTAATTACTTAATTAAATATATGAATATTAAGCTAATTTCTAACATCTTACTGATTAGTATCAAACTTTTTTGTAGGGTGTTAATAAATAAGAAGAAACATAATCAATCAGTGTCTAATCCAAGTAATCAAATCGGAAGAAATTGACTTTGCCTGCAGATTAAAAAAAGAAAAACGATTAAATAGAATTTATATAAAGTTATAGAGAAAACAATACAGAAAGCTTATTTAATAGTTAAGAATAGAAAATTGATGAAGATGACTTAAATTTTTAAGGATTGGGTTTAAGAGAATCAGATAATGAAATTGTTGGATCTGAAAATTGTGATGATGATGATGATGGAGATGAAGAATAAAATGAATTTCTAAAATATTTTGATCATAACTCTGACAGCAAATAAATTCATAATTTTTAAAATACCTAGTAATAATAATAATAATAATAATAATAATAATAATAATAATAATAATAATAATAATAATAATAATAATAATAATAATAGTAATAATAGTAATAATAGTAATAATAGTAATAATAGTAATAATAGTAATAATAGTAATTCTTATCCTAATAATAATAATCAAATCAATCTTAAACTTCATCTTAACCAACCTCAGCATCTAATTTAGACTAATTTAAAAATAAAATTATTAGGATGCCTGTATCTAAGAGTTAGACTTTATAATAAGTAGAAAAACAATAATTAGATAAAATGCAATAAAGTGCTGATAAAATAGAAGAGTATATAAATCCAAAATTTTTACAATGTATTAAAAATATTAATATAATAGCTGTGAGAAAATCTAGAGTAATTTATGCAAGATGGTTTGATAAAAAAGTGGTGACTTCATAAATGCTATATAATTTATTTAGTATATATGGTAACATTGATAAGATGATCTATTTGAAAGAAAGATCTAGTGCTCTTATTTAATATGTTACATAAGATCATGCTGCTATAGCTAAAGAATCACTTAATGATATAATGTTTTATGGATAATCTATTAAAGTAATAAAATTATTAATTTACAGATCTTTTTTTCCAATTATGAAGAAATTTCACTTAAAACTTAACCAACAAAACCTGGAGAATTTACTTAAGATATAAAAACCTAAGAAGAATATTTTTAAGGAGGAGAAGAAACTCATAGAATTAAACCTGATAGTACTTATACATTGGCACCTCCTTGTGATACCATTTAAGTATCAAACTTGACAAAAAATTCATGTCAAATTGCAGTTTTATAATAATACTTATAAGATTATGGATAAATTAGATAATCCAAATTAGTCACTAATGCTACAAAGTACATGGCCATTCTCAAGTACGCAAGCACAGAAGTGGCTATAACTGTTTTGGCTAATAATAATGGATTAGAATTAGATAGTAAGTAAATTTAAATAAATTTCTCAAAACAAAAACTCATATGAATATTTTCTATGTTATTAATATGATATAAAAAAAAATTGTAATCAAACTTGCTATTAAACATAATCCACCAAGTCTATTCGTTATATACAGATACAATTTAAGAGATAAAAAACTTAGAAGGTCTGTCAATTTGATTAACTTAGATATCGAATTGAGTTGAATTCCTTGGTTTATTTACCAAATCCAGATTCTATTACTTAGCAATTATATCATGAACATTATGATTATTTAAATGATGATAATGTTGAATATGAATAAGTATTAAGAATGGTTTAAATGTTACATGAACATCAATAATAAAAAAGTGGAACAAGAAGATCAGTCATCAAAAATCTTGATTAAGTAGAATCTTATATAGAGAGTGATTAAGATGAATTAAATAAAAGCATTATGATGGAATAAGATGATAATTGGTAAACTCCTCCTAATAGAAGAACAGGTAATCTTAAATCAATTTTATTATAGAAACTATCTATCCAAAAGACAATAGTAAATTTAAACAAATCCCTTCCAGTGAAAGTATGAACTTGAGTATCAGTGGAATGTAGAGTTTTATGCAAGGATAATAAAAAAAAAATAATAATCTTATCTATTTACCAATCAATAACTTTGATGATTAAGTTTCCAAAAATAGAAGATTTGTAGAGGATCAAATTCAATAAAACTAATAAAGTTATTTTAAGAATAAATTTATCGAGTTGCCATAGCCTTTACTAAACAGAAATAATTAAAGAATCAATAATTATTATTGATATTAAAATTATTATCCCTTTCTCTTTTTCTTTTTTTACTAAATTTATATTTTAAATTAATTCTTTACTATTTTTTAAATAAAATCTTTTTCTAAAGACATTAATAAAGAGATATTAAACGATAGATGTAACTTAATATATATAAAATTTATTGCAATTATTAAGAATCAAGGAGAATATTTTTTTTAAAGTTAATTTATTTTACTTAATATAGATATGTACAGAAATATTAATTTAGATATTGTTCAAAAATAATAAAATTACTTTAAACATAATGAATATAATAACAACAGCTAGATTAATTGTTTTCCAATTCAAATTCAGTTTCAAACAATGTATTAAAAGGTAAGAAATTTATTTTGATTTAGAACATCTATATATAATCATTTTGCTATAGATAGTCTTAGAGGAGGTGGATGTATTACAGCTAAAGTGACACCATTAGAACCATTAGAATAAGTAATTATAGAATTGCCTTGGAACTTTTTATATAATCTTATTTACTACTCATAATAAATAAATGAGAAATCACAATTAACTTGGAACGATAATACAAAAGATGAATTGTTTATTGCGATATAATGGTTTATTTTTAATAAATTTTGATGAATAAGATAATGATCCAATAAATTTAATTAATAGTCTTGTTTTTGAGAATGGTAATGTTGAATTTTTAAAGTAAAACATAGATTAGATAAATTCTTTGAATGAATAAAATAATGCTTTAGCAGCAAATTTTAAAAATAATAACTAAAAGAAACTCATAGATAAAAATAATAATTAAAAGAAAATACTAGATCAAATTAATGACAATTTATTTATGTTCATCCTATGTAGCTAGGAAATATATATTTAATTTTGTCTTTTTTCTTAATAAGCGAATTTAGCATCAAAATTATATGGATAGGGAAATTTAGATATAAATAATTAAATTTTGTAATAATTGATTGAGAATAATAATTAGATTATGAAAATATAATATGATATTCTAAAGATGAAATTATAAGAAGATTATAATTAATTTAATGATAAAATATTATAGGTAAGTGAGAATTGTAAAAAAAATATAAACTAATTTAATGAACTTTTTAAGTAAGTTAAAAATATAGAGATACGCTGTTTATAAATTCTTTAAGATCCAAATTCTCCCATAATTGACATTTCTAACACTGATGATTTTCATAATTTATTAAGAAAAATATTTGTCTTTTAGATATTTTAGTAGTATATAAATACAATTTGTGAATAATTAGACTAGAATTAAGTAAACTTAGATTAAAAATAATTACTTGAATTGCAAATAAATTTACTCCAATTATTAGATAAGGTTGTAGATTAATTATATATAAAATATAAAACGATTAAAGAAGGAATTTAATTAATGATTGAGAATGAAAATAATTTATTATTATTGGTTGAATCAAAAAAGCATCAATAAAATCTTGATTCAAATAAATGGATATAAAATTTTTTGATAAAAGAAGAAGATTAACTTAAATAATTATAATTAGCTTCTTCTCTATCAATTGATTAATCTAAATTGGATGATTTAATAAATTTAATTTTAATCATATGGACTTTGTTGATTAAAATTATTAGAGTGCTAGTCAGTAATAGTTTTTTCTTAGACAAACTTCAAAAGTAACAATTTTACTATTAAAAATAAAATCTAATTATGATATAAGATAAGAATTAGAGAGTGTTTCTGAAATTTATAGAAATTCAATAAAAGAAATGATTGATGAAATAAGTTAGTAATAAAAAGGTTTCAGATAGAATACTTAAGGCAGATAAACTCTTAATGATTAAAATTAAACAAGTAAGGATAATTAAGATTTAAAATAAATTCTTATAAAATAATTAAAAGATAAGGAAACAAATATGAAAGGTTTTAAGGATTAAATTAAAAATTATATATAAGAATTAAAGACTTTTATGAGATATTTTACATAAAACACAGATGATAATAGCAAGGATGATAATATAAAAAAGTTTCTAAATAAAATAAAAATAAAGTTTAAAGAAAACACATTTTTTAAAATTTAAGAAAGTAATTAATATGAATTGGATAAAATTGATAAGGTTTAATTTAAATTAAAATTTGTGACTAATGTTTTTTAAAATGTAGCCAATTCATTAAAAGTTTAATTTTCTAATTTAGACAATAATTAGATATCCTTAAAACCAACAATAAATATTAAAAATTAGAATTTTTATTAAAAGGAAAATTGCAATGATTATAGAATAAGGGAATGTTTATTTTTTAATATATAAAAATTCAGAATACAATAAAAGAACCAAAAATTATACAATTTAGTTAACTTATAATTCAATAATTATGGATGGTAGAAAAGAATGAAAATGTTAGAAATATATTTAAAGATTAAGAAATGATAAATTAATAAAAAAAGTTATATTCACATGAGTTAAATACATTTTCATAGAAATTATAATAGAAGTTTAAATAAAAACTAGGCGAATTGCAAAAATTAGAAGCAGAAATTAGATAAGAAGGCTTAATAAATGATAAATTTGAATTGAAAAAAAGATTATAAGAGAAATAGAATGAATTTTCGAATTATTTAAAAAATATAAATGAGATGACTTAATAGATAAATATAAGTTTTATATTTTTATAAGAAATACATAATGAAATATCAATTTTATAAAATAAAATTGATAAAATATAAACTAATGTTGATGATATTTTAGCTGATATAAGATAACTTAGAGGTAAAACATACAAAGAGTTATTAACAATGAGAAAAAATAAAATTTTACATGAGTAATAAATTACTGATATGAATTCAATATATATAGAATTGAAAAAAAATAGAAGATATTATTAATCAGAAAGATAACCTTCAACTGAAAATTAAATTTAAACATTTTATTATAAGAGAAAGAAAATGAAATTAATTTAACATAAACTATTTAAAAAAAAGAAGCAGATGTGACTCATTTTTTTAATTTAGAGAAAAAATTTGATGTAATGTTGATTAGAGGATAAGCAGGGTCAGGAAAAAGTAGAGCAGCTAAAAAAATAGAAGAATACATTTGGAAATTGTATTAAGGTCGTTCAGAAGATTGGATTCCAATATTTATTTCATTACCATCACTTAAAGATCCAAAGAAAAATTTATTTAATGAAGCTTTAGAATCAGATTTTTATCATTTTGACAAAATTTAAATAAAAGAATTGAAGGATGCAATTTAAAATGATAGAGAAAAAATAGTAACAAAATCTTTATGAAACTAATGAATTTGCTTAATAATTCAATATTAAACTAAATGGAATTGGTCATAATGTTAAGACTATTATAACTACAAGATCTGAGCTATTGCAAGATTAAAATTTTATTAGATGGTTTACAGGAGAAAATATTTAGAATTTATTAGATATTGAGCTTTAATAATTCTAAGAAAAAGAAATAAAAGATTATTTGCTTGAATATAGTATTTTAAGTGTAAGGAAAAAGATATTTGGATTGTATGAGTATATTTAACAAATTTAAGGAAATAAAGTTGATTCAGAAGAAGTTAGATAAATTTAAATTGCAATTGATCCTCATTTAAGTTAGTTATATAAAGAATAACATAATTAAACATTAATAAATGCTTACAAAGCTAAATCTATAATTGAAACTATAAACATATTTTACTCATTAAGTATCGGGGGTTTTGAAATTATAAAAAGCTTAAAAAAGAAAAGAGTAATTAAAAAATTGGTCAGATTAATATTTTTTTGAGGGAACATTAGAAGATTAAAAATATAAGAAAATAATAAGAAGTTGTATTTTATTAACCTGTAAAGGTAATGTTTATTCATTTACACATAAATCAATATAAGAGTTTTTTGGAGCTAAATATGTTATTAATTTATTTTTTGATTTTATAAAAAAGTATAAGAAAGATGATAAGATTGTTTATGAAATAGATGATGAAAGTTTTTAATAATCTTTATTTAATGATGATAGATTCAATATATCGAAACAAGTTTTTAAAAGATATCTGAATTTATAACAAATTATTATTAAGGGAAAGAATAAGATATGGTAGATAAATTAGTAGAAGTGTTAAAGTATTCTTAAAATAGAGAGAAATTTCGTAGATCAGCTTCAAATTCTTTATATCTACTATCATAATTTAAAGCCTATTTGGGAGAATTGGTTTTAAAGAATATATAAATTTCTGATACTAAATTAAATGGTTTAAGTTTTTTTAAAAGTATTTTTTCTAAAAGTTATTTTAAAAATGTAGAAATAGATGGATGTAATTTTAATAAGGCAAAAATAATAGATTCTACTTGGAAAGTTATATGTAATGAATAAAGAACATTATCTGAACATAAAAGTAAAGTAACAGTGATGGTAATGAGTACTGATGGAAAACTATTATTTTCAGGAAGTGAATAAGGAGAGATTATTATATGGGATTATACAAAAAGAGAAATTTTAAAGAAATTAGAAAATTAGGAGAGTTAAGATAATTAGTAAGATGAAGTAAATAAAAATGAAATTAAATGTTTAGCAATAAGTTCAGATGGAAAATTATTGGCATCTTGTAATAAAAGTAAAAACATTTATCTGTGGGATTGTGAAAATTTTATTGTACTTCATCATGTAGTTGGACATAAAAAATAAGTAAATTCAATAGCTTTTTCATTAGATAAAAATACAAAATTGCTAGCATCTGGAAGTAGTGATTAAACAATATTATTTTGGGATTGGGAATAAGGTAAACAAATTAAATAAACTATTAAAAATAATATAGATATAATGTAAGTAATAATTTTTAAGAATTCAAAGTTATTAGCATCTAGAACTTTAGACAATATTTTAAAAATATGGAATATTTATTAAGAATATCCAGAAATTATTCGACTATTTTTGAATTATAGTTTAGAATTAACATCTATTAGTATTTCATTAGATGGTGAATATTTAGCAGCTGGACTTAAAAATAATGGAGATAATGATTAGATTTGTGTAAGAGCTTGGGAAATCAAATAAGATTAAAAGGAATACTTTTAAACATATTATAAAATATATTCTTTGGCAATTTCTAATATTCATAATAAAATTATAGGTGGCAGTACTAATAAAATTGTAATTTGGAATTAAGATTTTAAAACATAAAGAGTGGAAGAAGTGGAAATAGTGGAAGTAGAAGTAGATGGTTTAATTAATGCTTTGACTTTTAATAAAGATGAAAAATTATTAGCATCTGGATCTGATAAAGGAATTATCTTATGGAATTATGAAGGTAATTCTATTAAAAAATATCCAGAAATAAAAAATAAAATTACAGCAAAAGTAAAGGCCATTCTTTCATAATGTTATAAAAAAGCTTTTGAATTAAATTCATTAATTTCAAAAGAAATTTTATCAATATTAATTGATTAATGCTATGAATAAAAAAAACTAAAAATAAAATAGAAAATTTTATAAATATTTGGTATTAAGTAATTGAAGAAAATCTTTTATTTAGCAATAGAATGATTAAATTCAATTTCAAACTTATATCCTCATTCAACCGAACAAAAAAAACAAACTAGAATTCAATACCAACCCACTTGGATTTCTGTTTCTTTTTTTGATTCTTCTTCTTGTTTTATACATCTTGTTGAATATAAATTTCAGCGAAAACAACCTTATGTAACTCGAATACTTCTAAAGATTTTTTCCCTTGTGTTTATCAATCTAGAGTTATATAAAGAAAATAAAATAAATTCAGTTTAAAATTTGAATAAGCACTGATGTTTTAATATCTTATCTTCGCTTATAGTTAATTAAAGGTATATTATTATTAACTAAAAATTACTAAAAATAAATAATAGATAATGACATCAGAGGAAAGAAAGTTGATATTTATTACGTTATTATAAAATATATATTATAAATATAAAAATGAGCATAGAAGATGTTATGAATGAAGCCTTAAAGGTGGGGTATTAGATTGATGAAAAAACAGTAAAACATAATATGGATTATTTTAAACACAGTTTAAACATGTGTGCTTGTTCAATTTGTTAATGTGGAAATTGTTAATGCAAGAATCCAAGATTTTAATTGGCAACATCTTATAGAAAAAGATCTTTAACTCCAAAAATAAGTGTAAGGGATACTCCAATAACAGTAAGTCGTAGTTTTTATGAGACATTTGAGAATTCTTATAGGCAGATGTAAGGACTGCCAAATTAGTTTGTTACAAGCAATCAGAGATAATATCGAGGAATAAGTTTAAATGGAACTCCTGCTAGATCATATAATTCTAAAGTGGTCTATAATTCATCATTTGAAGGTAGCACTAGATATTAGGAGTTCTTTGCAGATAAGCCTAAATAGATGAATGTGCTATTTAAGAGACCATATGAAAGACATACAGGACCTGTAAAAATAAGACATCTAGAGACTTAGAATTAGAAAGTTTATTAAAGAATAAAATTAGAACCATAAAATGCAGTTGCTTAATAAAATTAGATGGATTAAGTATTAAAAGTGTATATAAAATAATAAAATCCTAGAAATTTATCAATTCCAATGAATACGATGTATTAATCATCTTTTAGAGAAATGAGTGATTTAATTTAATCAGTAGATAGATAAGAATGTAAAAAGAGAAAACAAGAGGATCTCCAATGCATAAATCAAATAAATTTGCCTTTTTAAGCAAAGACAGTTACTAGCCAATAGTATAGATGTTAACCTCTATTTGTGTGTCCAGCAAAATTATAAAAATATTAATGAATACTTATAATTTTAATCAAGAGTAAATCAAGTAATTCAAAGAGCTCTTTGCTATGTTCGACAAAGATGGAGGAGGAACTATTTCAACAAATGAAATAGGTAATTTAATGAAAGAATGTGGAGAGAATCCTACTCCTTAATAATTAAAGGAAATGATAGAAGAAGTTGATGTGGATGGAAATGGTGAAGTTGATTTTGATGAATTTATTGGTTTAATGGGAAAAAGAATGAGAGAAGAAGAAACAAATGAAGAGTTGAATTAAGCATTTAATATACTTGATATAGATAAAGATGGATATCTCTCTAAAACAGATATATAATTAGGTCTAGTTAAATTAGGATAGCAGAAACTGTCAGATAACGATTTAGATGAATTATTCTTAAAAGCCGATCTTGATAAAGATGGCAAATTTAGTTATGATGAATTTATTAGATTTATGACTCCTAAATGATTTTAACATGAATAAATATATGATACTAAGTGATAAAGATAATCAAGAAATGTTTGTAAACAAGAATAATTTTATATTTTCTCTTTTAGAAACAATATCTCCTTAACTAAATTGTTAAATGTTGATTTATTTAAATCATTCTAAAACTATTCCTTATTATTTTAGACTTCTGATTACCAAAGCTTCATAATCTTTTAAAAACACCTTTCCATCTCTGTCTTCATCTGCCATTTCCATCCATAGTTCTACATCTTCATTTGTTGGTTCAATAGACATTCCCATCAATTTATATGTTTCTTAGAGCAATTACGGAACCTAAATTACTTGTTCTTTATCTTACATGATTTTCAGTTATAAATCCATTTTTCTCTGTATCTAACATTCTAAAAATTCTTCTTGCTACTTCCAATCTCTCTTAAACAACCTAACTATATGTATTTTAGGCAGGAGATGAATTAGGAATTTAAGAAACTTAATTTGTGACAGTAGATTATTGTTGAACCGTAATTACTCTGCTATTCTAATTACTTGAGACTTTTCTATTGATTGTACTTGTCTCATAAGTTCTTTATTAATTTATTGTTTGCTCAGGTAACACTCTTTCACTTCTTTCACTTCTATCAAAATTGCCTCCAAAGTACTTTATGCACAGTGCTTCAATATCTTTATCAGTCACCATACCACATTATCGTCCTAAAATACTTTTTATGTTTCATACTGTCGATGATTCTGGAAAAAGCAGCAATATCTGTTGGAGTTGGATTAAACCCTTTATTCATAGCTCTATAACAATCTGATTGAATATAGCCAACTTCAAAAGAATCTAATGTGCCGTTTTCATCCCCATCATAAATTTTCATGATTTTTCTAGCTAAAGCTTTGCACTCATCTTTTGTCATTATTCCTCCAAATTGAACTGAGTCAGAAACTTTCAAAGTTGAATACTTGATGTCTCTATTATGATCCATCTGATCTCTTAATAATTATTTAATATAATACTATCACTTAAATCTCTTTTTATTTAAAATAACCCTAAAACCAAACATCATTCAGATCATAGATTATCAAAAAAGCAACTTACAAAAATTAGAATTTTATTCCTTACTCATTTTTGTTTTTTTATCACAATACAAAAATATTAGATTATGAAGAAATAAGAAATTTATATTTTTAATTATTTTGCTGATATATAAAGATTTAAGATAGAACATTTGGTTTCTTTTTTTTTAAATTAGAATTTTTATTGTTTCACATATTTAAAGCTTCTTAAAAGTTTTGATATTTTTGCCTTTGCACTTTTTCTAATTATGTTAATTGTTAATTTTATGAAAATTTACAATAATACAGAAAAAATAGAATAAAGTTCTTATAATTTATTTTTATATGATCCCACTATTCAGCTATTTAAAATTATTCATAAATAATGAATGTTAAATCAAATTGGTTTAACACAGTATTAACTCTATATATATATAGATAATTAAATAATGAAAAAAAAGAGTATATGACTCAGATAGCTGTAATTGAAGCTTAAGATTTCGCAGCTAAATATTCCTTTGAGTCTGATACTTATAGATGTTTACTAGATGATTAGTTAATAGGGGAAAAACATTGATAAAGGAGAGGAAATCGAAAAAAAATAGCTGTCGTTGGCAAACCCATATAAACTAAATTGAAGGTTAAAATTAAAGGCAAAAGTACTTAATGGAGCAATAATTAATTGGTTTATCTCTGTAACAGCAAATAAAAAAACATAATTATAAGTGTTATGAAAAATTAATAAAATTATAATATAGAGTTAGAAAGGCTTTTTCTATTAATTTTCCTTTATAGAATGATAAAGTAATCTGAAGAGTTTGTATAGCAGAGACTTGTATAGGTTAGATTCCTGAATTTACTTCAGAAAAGGATTGTTTTAATATTGCTTATTTATAAAGACAAGGAGAAATTTTGCCATCTAGATGCTTTTACTTTAAGAATTCCTAAAAATCATCAATAATTAAATAACTGCAAGAGAAATTTCAATCAAATATTAATTATTAAGCGTTCCTTTAATTAGTTTCTTAGGGTCAATTCGAAATGTTTTTTGAGGTTCTATCGTTAATAAAACTTCCAGCATTATTAGTATAAAAACTACCTTAAGAATATTAAGTTAGATTAATTTTTTTTGAAACATCCTCATTTTATCCTGTTATAAAAGCTGTTGATATCTATATTAACTATGTTATGGATTGGATGCCAACAAACAAAAGATTGGAAATTAGTAAAGATTGATTCATTTATTGAAAAAGCAGATTGAAAAGGAAAAAACAATTGGAGAGTGAAATTAAATTTTAAAATACTATGTTAATTTCCAAGAATTAAATTAATTATTCATGATATTTTTGTTTTTAATGCCAGTCAATTATTGAGGAGACAAATATATAATATCAGAGTATAAATAGTTATGAAAACCTAAGAAATTTACGAATGACTCATACTTAATGTAAATTGAATTAAGCTATAAAATCAAGATGATAAGGGGATAGATGTTATAAATGACTATCTTAAAAAAAATATGGTCTGAAGCTAACTCATGGGGAAGAGGTCTAGAAGTTTTTAAAAGGAATTTTAACACTATTGGGAGCGATATGAAATAAATTTGCATGATTCTTATACTTATGTTTATTTGAACTTTAATTCCTTTATTCTTTTAGTCCAACCAGGTATTTTTAAAACACAGCCACCAGAAGCTTGATTTTTTATTTATTAATAAATAAGTTTTATAATATTGAATCAAAAAATTTTAGATAAGGCTTCTTCTGTATTTATTAAAAGGCCATTCAGATAAACTAACTATTTTTCTTAGAATCTTATGATAGATTCTAAATTTAAAATAATTATTTCTTTTTAATTCAATTATTCTAATATACTGTTTACCATTTATTAGTCTTTAATTGAGTTTATATCATCTTCCTTTTATTTTGCAGTATATTAACGAATTTATTAATTAATTTTTTTAAATTCATTATCTTATAGTGATTCCTGATTACTTTATAATTACTATATTGAATCTTAAATTTAACTAAGTTAAGTTTATTAAATTATTTTAAGACTCAAAGATTTGATTTCTTCTGAAAGAGATTATATTTAATCTTAATAGTTTTTATTTTATTGCATTAAAATGGTAGTTTAAAAGTGAAATTATACTTTTTATTGTTCTACTTAATTTTTATAGTTCTGACTTTATTCATTTAACTTACTATTTATTTAATTGAAATTTGTTATTTCTTAGGTTTATTAAGAGATTTAAAGTTCTAATTATTTATTTAATTTTAATAGTTGGATATTATTTTATTCAATATCAAATAATCCTTATTTTTGTTAAACTAATTATTGCTAAAAATCTTTACTTTTTTCATCTAATTGTATATTTACATATAAAATATTTTATATTTCTTCTATGTATTTAGCTAATTACTATTATTAATCTTTATTTTTTTAATCTATTTGTGTATTAACTTATTGAAGATTTTATATTTCTTCTGTTTGTTTAGCTAATTATTATTCTTAATCTTTATTTTTTTAATCTATTTGTGTATTAACTTATTGAAGATTTTATATTTCTTCTGTTTGTTTAGCTAATTATTATTCTTAATCTTTA